AAGTAAATAACAAAGTTATGGCTGAATTTACCTAAATTCAATGATGAAATATGGACCAAATTAGTTCATATTTGACCGTTGTAACCATCTTGGCCAATAGTTGTTGAGTGTAAATCAACAGTCGTTTCAAACAGCCTTCCGGCCCTTTTCTCTCTTAAAGTCTATCGGTAATCAACTCGTACACTTACTTTCAACACAGTGTTCTGCATTCAACTGCTGTGCAAACGGGACAAGGAAATTCTAACATAAAAAATACGTCCCCTCGGCCCTCCGTGGATTATTTGTTCATAGGCACGTGCTTTTATCATCAGTAATTTATTTCTCTGAAGTAAACCCAATTTGAATAAATTCCAATTACAAAGTCGTTTTTTCACATTAACAGAAAAAGATTGAAAAAGAACTCATCATGGAATGGGTACCAACACAAGAGGGACTTTCACAGCTATTGCAGCTGCTAAAAGATTCCGTGTCTCCGAATAATGAAATTCATACCATGATACAACAAGTATCCTTTTTATGAATATATTATTTTTTCGATAATTTCACACGCCCGACTCATATTCAACGACGCGCTTATTAATAATTCTCTTTGAACTTTCTTCTCTGCATAAAGTTTTTTTAATCGCGTTTTGTATACAAAACGGCGATAACTTTTTGCCACTGTATAACACTTTCACATAAAGTTTGACCGTTGCTCACATTCACTAAATTAGAGCATCGTCCATCAAACTCGATAGTCTCTAATTATCGTTTCGATAGATTCTATTATTCTTAACTATTTCTTGCATTTTTTTTTTTTTTTTAGAAACTCGAATCATTCAATAAAATACCAGATTATCCTAATTACCTCGTATACATTCTCACCCAAATGCCACAAGAGGAGGCGTCTACCCGTGCGATCGCAGGCCTTCTTCTAAAAAACACAATCCGTGTATATTTTTCAACAATTCCACGTGAGGTGCTTACATATGTGAAGACATTGTCAATCAAAGGGTTAGGTGATCAAGATGTAATGGTGCGAGGTATCGTCGGGAATGTGATCACTACTATCGTGACGAGAGGGGGGTTGGTGGATTGGCCGCAGATCTTGCCGAGTTTAATGGAGTTATTGAATTCTCCAGATTACAACGTTGTGGAGGTTGGTACTTTTTATTTATCTAATCGATTATGTTTATCACTTTCTACAATTTATTTATTTGAATTTTTTATACTTCAGGGTTCTTTTGGTGCTCTTCAAAAAATCTGTGAGGATTCAGCTCGTGAGCTCGATCAAGATACTAATGGAACACGACCTCTCAGTTATATGATTCCTAAAATAATTCCGTTTTTTGATTCACCACACGTCAAGATTCGTGTGTTTGCTGTCTCGTGCATAAATCAATTTATTCTCATGAGATCAAATTCCCTTTATAATCACATCGATGAGTTTGTGGCTGCTCTTTTCAAGAGAGCTAGTGATGAAAACCCGGAAGTCCGTAAAAACGTCTGTCAGGCTTTAGTAATGTTGCTTGAGGTGCGTCCTGACAAGCTTATGCCTGAAATCGCAAACGTTGTGGAGTACATGCTTTATTCTACACAAGATCAAGATGAACAAGTAGCACTGGAGGCATGCGAGTTTTGGTTGGCTTTCGCTGAGCAAGAAGAACTTCGGGATCATTTACGCCCTTTCCTTCCTAGAATCGTGCCAGTGTTGTTAAAAGGTATGGTTTATAGTGAAATGGACATCATGACTCTTGGTGGTGATGAAGATGATTCCAACGTTCCGGACAGTGAGGCCGATATTAAACCTCGCTTTCACCGAGCAAAGACTCACACATTTGAACGCACGGAGGCTAATGGTGGCGAATCCTCTGCACCCGCTTCCCGAGAGGAGGAGGATGATGATGATGACGACGACGATATAGACGATGATGATATTTACTCAGAATGGAACCTGCGAAAATGTTCGGCTGCAGCTTTGGATGTGCTTGCTACCGTTTTTGGAAATGAATTACTAGAAATTCTGTTGCCCTTCTTGAGAGAACAACTATTTCATCAAGAATGGAAACATCGTGAATGTGGTATTCTGGCTCTTGGTGCTGTTTCTGAAGGTTTGCTGTTTTTTTTTCTTATTAGTGATTAACAATGTCAAGTATACGAATACCTTTTTGATCATGTAAACATGATTCTTTTAATCATAAAACAAGGATGCATGGAGGGAGTGGAACCACACTTGCAAAATTTGGTCCCTTATCTTATTCAAACGCTTAATGATAGCAAGGTATTTTGTCAAATTAACGAAAAAAGAAAATGCATTTCCACTTCTGATATAGTGCTCTTATAGATTTTTAATGACTTGATTCATGACAGCCGCTTGTTCGCTCAATTACATGTTGGACACTGGGTCGCTATTCTCGTTGGTGTGTAAATCCCCCGAATCCACTTCAAGACAGATCCAAGTATTTTGAACCTTTGCTTGAAGGGGTGAGTTCATTATGCAATCGAATTTGTATATTGAAACACGAATTAATTTTATTTTTTTTTTGACTACCACCATTCCATAAGCTCTTGCGTAAGGTCCTTGACAATAATAAACGTGTTCAAGAAGCGGCTTGCAGCGCATTCGCTACTCTGGAGGAGGAGGCTTGTGAATTGCTCATTCCTTATTTAGATCCAATTCTTCGGAATCTCGTTTTTGCCTTCACCAAATATCAGCACAAGAACTTGCTCATCCTTTACGATGCAATCGGTACATTGGCCGATTCCGTCGGTTCAGCCCTTAATAAGAAGGAATATATAGACATTCTTATGCCACCGCTTATTGAAAAATGGCACCTACTTAAGGATGACGACAGAGATCTATTTCCCTTGTTGGAGGTTTGCAGAATAATTTCGAGTTTCACCCATGATCTCTTTCATAATGACTCACAAGAAAATTGTTTATAGTGCCTATCTTCGGTTACGACTGCTTTAGGATTAGGATTCCAGCCCTTCGCTCAGCCGGTTTTCGAACGTTGTGTAAAGTTAATTCATAATACTTTAGTGCAATACCAGTTGCATCAACAGAACTCATCAGTGGAAGTACCAGACAAAGACTTTATGATTGTCGCCTTAGATTTATTGAGCGGACTGACACAAGGATTGGGCAATCATATTGACGCTCTCGTCGAACATAGTAACCCTCCCTTATTATCGTTGCTGAACGTCTGCCTAACTGTATGGTTTATCAATCTTTTTCTTTTTGCGGAAAGAAAAGAAATCTCAACGTTTGATTTAAATTTTGCTAACAAGGATTATATAACCGCTAGGATATTGTTGCTGAGGTTAGACAATCTGCCTATGCTCTGTTGGGCGATCTCTCCATTGCATGCTTCCCTCGCATCAAACCTTTCCTCAATCAATTTATGGTCGACTTGATCAGTCAAGTTGATCCCGCCGCTGAGCACGTTAGTGTTTGTAATAACGCTGCATGGGCGGCTGGTGAAATTGCTTTGCAATGTGGTATGTTACATATGTCTTTACTCGCTTTTTCTGAAAGTCACGCGTTAATCGTTTTCATGGAATTACAATAGGTGCAGAGATGCAACCATGGGTTCCTCCTTTGTTGGAAAGATTAATACCTCTTCTGACCAACGAGTCCACACCTCGCACGTTGTTGGAAAACGCTGGGATTACAATTGGTAGATTAGGTCTTGTGTGTCCTCAATTAGTTGCACCACACTTGGATACATTTTCAGAAGCTTGGTACATACTATACTCGTGTATGCATTTCAGAATATGTTCTTGGCGATCATTTGTGATAACTTGAAATATTTGTTAAAGGTGTAAAGCTTTGCGATCGATCCGTGACAATGATGAAAAAGACACCGCCTTTCGTGGACTGTGCGAGATGATTCAAGTCAATCCTAACGGCATTGCAAAGGTTTATTATTTTTATCTTTTTTTTTAACAATTTCTTATTAATAGAATAATACGACCTAAGTTTTGCGTTGACTCTCATACTTTTCAGAGTTTTCTATATTTCTGTGATGCTGTAGTTCAATGGCAGCATCCCCCGCAAGAATTAAACGAAATATTCCGTAAGGTAAGAGTCGAATCTTTTACACAAAGTTTTCTCTGATTGTGCATAACATATCTTTTATTTGTAGATCCTTACGGAATTTAAGCAGATGCTGGGTTCTAATTGGGAAGCATATACAAATCATTTCCCACCTCACATAAGGCAACGACTCCTCGAACGTTATGGACTTTGAATGATATGTCAAACAAAGCTGCTGAATTTTCAACTATTCCTAACAACAGGTAGTTTATAACCCGCAATGTAAAATTCTTTTTTTCGAGACTCTAGAATTAAGACTAATCATGAATTCCAATTGACAGCAACATAATTTCGAACTAGCAACAAACTCTTATTTAGATAGCCGGCTTCATTTATTCCCAGATATCACCCCATATTATTCGCTAACCTTCATTTTTATGACCTTTTGGGTTTACCCATCTCTTTTATAGTTATATATACTCTTTTTAGGTTTCCTTATTTACTTTCTTCGGAACATTACACCTCAAAAAAGGAATTGTGCAATGTATTCAGTTGAATAGGAAAGATGTAAAAACGGGTCGTATGAGTGGCGTTCGGATGAAAAAAATTAACAAGGCAAACTGAAAAAGAATGCATGTTAAATATAGTCATTATAATTATATCAATATTTTATAAGTCAACATATCATTGTTATTGGTGTTAAATTAACAATCGATTACCTCATTCAACCTTTCGGTTAATGAAATCTAGTTTGGACACGTGATTTGACGTTTTATAACAAAGTTCAGGGATTTTCTATCGATGTTTCTCCGACTTCTCTTATAATCACACGAATATAATGTATATAATACCTTTTAAAACCAATAAAGACCAAGTATTTATTCGCAATGATTCTTAAAAACGTGAGTCTTCATTTTAACGAAAATTGTGACAATACATCTTGCCAGCAATAAATTTTCTTACCTCTCTTGTATTATAATGTTCCATTTCTTATAGAATAATAATTCTTTATTTACATTATGTATACTTTCACCAGAAATCTTTGTAAGAAAAAAATTCGATTGACGTGAGAGGACAACATATTTTTGTTCTAAAGTCACATGACAATGATTACGACATTGGATTTTCCGATAAATGACTTTACAAAAATAATCGATTGTGTAAATAACATTCAATTTTAATAAAGTTTGAATTTTAGATCGGCATGATAGGCATTTCGTTTTTATCAAGACAAAATTGAATTTTAAATAAATATTATTATTTTATTAATCATGATCATAATTACAATATGCATTCAATAGTCTGAAAGAATTAATTATCGTGATAAAAGTAAATAAAATAATTTATTTAATCGATAATCTAAAATTTTAAGCCTATGTTATTATCAGTTAGTTTTTTGAAATAATTAAAATAAAAAATGTTATCTATAATCTTTTAAAATGTAATGTTATAGCAAAAAATTAATTTTTTATATATACTCTACTGTAATACCATGCGATCATGCGGGTACTTCGCGACTGGCACTAGGTCATTTTAAAAAAGATGTGCGTAATATGGTTAATCGAATTTCTATTGTCCGAGAATTTTGTAGGGCCGAACATATGCGTTACTTCTTCGGGAGAAATTATGAAATAAAGTTAATCACTGTGCAAAGATGACGAGTGATATGATAACAGTGACACCAATATATGTGATTGTTAGGTACGAATACTCAGATGTCACCTTTAACCTCGCAGTATCACATTCAACATAGCGATCATATTGATTGAGACAAAATTTATGCTGATGTGTATTCGAACGAAGTTTAATTTATCCTCCTGAAATAAAAAAACCGTCCGAAGCTCTTTTAATATTTATTGGTTTTTTTTTTTTTTTTTTTTAAGAAATATATTTTTTTTTACCTTATGGGTTGTAAGTCCACTTAAAGGGGAAGAGAGGGAATGATTTTGGTTTGATCATAAATAAGGTTATATACACGTTTGACGAAGTAATTTATAGGGAGAGGGAGGGAATAAATACTTATCGATACGAGCGATGTGAAAGATATAAAAACGAATCTAGAGGTCAAAAAGCAACATTGTGACTATGGCAACATGGGTGGTGTTTGGATAAAAGAAGGGGATGTCAGCTAGGAGACCACAATCATTTTGGACTTTCCCTTGACAACATACCCCACGCGTTAAAAAAACGAAACCAAAAATCAACGAAGAGAAAAAAATCATATATAAGGATAAGTTAATAGCGATTATCCTCGTTCTAAATTGATTAAAACCGATTCATAGTCCCATGATTTTGTCAGAAATGATGGTTAAGAAAAAGAAAACGAGTTGAAAAATATCGAACCATATCAGAATACGAAACGCAAAATTAAACGAAAATTTTTAAACTTAGGAATAAAAAAAAGATTATTTGCTTTTACTCTAGATCTCTACTTATAATCCTTTTAGAATGTCATCTAAACGAACCACCGTAACATCTTGTTTAGGGAAGAATTCATCGGTTAACATCTTTTGGACTGATTCATTTACATCGAAACAACAATCACTCACGACAGTGATAGTCATATCTTTGTTAAAAGCAGTTAGAATGGTGGGGAGAATCACATCGCTCGTGGCAATACCAGATAGAATGATATGACGAATATTACGTGATTCGAGGATCATTTGAAGGTCGGTGTTGTAAAAGGCATCCGCTCGACGCCTCTAGAATGTTAAATTTCGAACAATATTTATAAGTGGAACAAGAGAATAAGAAGAATAAAAGAACAATTGGAAGACCTACCTTGATTACTATGTCACTCTGGAACGAATGCAAATTTATTTGATTTACTTTTTATACATGATTGAGAAATTAATGAAGAAAAATATTGAATCGATAGAATACCTCTCTCGGAATCATTCCATCGATAAATTCTGCACCTTTAGTTCCTTCTATAAGTCTTCCTGTGGTTTTAAACTGTTCTAAATAACGACTGTTTAGGTGTGGAGAAAGTTCGGGGTAACCAGGTCGAAACTGCATTTAAGTTTTCCGTCAAATGAAATAGATACAAAAGTTAATCATGGAAAAATTAAAGGTACTTATTTGATTCACTTACAGAAAGGCCAATGGAGAAACAGCTAACGTTCTTCTTTTGTCGTGCCAAATGAACAGCATTGAAGAGACTTCTTGAGCGCGTTAAAAATTGATTCAGAGTATTACCCGTCTGAATCCTATTCAAATAATGATAATGAAAGAACGAATAATGTGACAAACACATTAAATCACAAATTCTCACGAAACACCAATTTACGCGTATTTAATGAAATTCATATACATACATTCCAATTACGTCGTTCTGATAATCGCAAAACAGAAAACTATAAAACAACGAGTAAGGAATTAAAAATGCGAATAAGAATGAATAACGAGAAATAATTATACGCCACATACGCTGCATTGTCCAAATGAATTGAATGCACTATGGGCACGGACTGTGTGGGATACATCCCAGAGGGAGCGTAAGGAGGTCCCATCGAAGCCGAAGTTGTGGCTCCATATGAAAGATAATGAGAGCTAGCAGTAGTTCCAATAGTGAGTGTGTTTGCCCCATTTGTTCTGTTTTGTGCGGAAGTTATTGACGGAGGCGATGTATAATTAGATGTGGGAGGCTGAAATCATGAAGAATAGCGGATTTGGTTTGACCAATGTGACAATATAATGTGAGTCACATTATGACGTCAATAAAAAAAAAAAAAATAGAAAAGTTGTCTAACGAACACTTACTATGTTCACTGTGTTACTGAAATTCGAATGTTCGGGCGACAAAACTGAAGCCCCAGCAATTGGCGTGGAATGTGAAGTAACCTGCTGGAGAGAAAGTTCCGCACCTGAACTATCGCCGCTACGAACCTGGTGACGATTTTTGAATTTTGATATCCATCCGTTAGAAGCTTGAAACTCATTGCGAATATTGTACATCTGCGCCAGTTCCAGAGCCTTCTCCTGCAGCTGTGAATCGCTTACTGCAGTGCCATTTGAAAGGTTCATGGAAAACCATGCAGCCAAGGACTCTTCAATTTGAGGAAACTTTGGTGACTTTTGTGTCTTTTGTTTTGCATAGTTGGAGTTAGGGTCGATGGCTAACCATTTTTCCTTTTGTTTAAGAATCTTTGTTATTGTACTACGGTCGAGGCCATATTCTTTAGCAAGATCCTCGTCTCTGAGCTTCAGGTTTTCTCGTTTTTTTATACATATCTCTTGTTTTGTAAGGGCGGTGATAGGAACTCGTTTCTTCTTTTGCTTCTGCTCTTGGGGCATCGTATAAGACCTGTTCGCAAAAGTCACCTTGAGAAGAAAAACTACAAGTGTTTGTTTGAAGTGTGTGCCAGATTGAAGAAATAATGATGTCACATTTATGCTTTCAGTCTGAAATTATCCCTTAAATTGT